ATTATCACTATTATTGTCATTATCAATCATGGTATTATCAGTACTATTATTCGTGTTAACATTGTTATAAATACTGTAGTATGTTTCATGGTCTTTATTATTAAAAGTATGCTTCGTATGATTGTTATGATTATTCGTTGTCTTCTTAATTATTGCTACGTTTTATCATTATTTCTACTCGTATGATAAGTATTAGTATTACCCGTATCATTATTATATGGTTTATTGTTCGTAGTCTTATTCGTATGACTATTGTTCTTGTCCGTATTTGTATTACTTGTATTAATAGTAATATTCCTCTTCCTCTTCTTACTATCAATATTCCGATGATTATTCCGTTTCTTTGTCTTCTTCCTCCTCCTCCACCTTCTCCTTTTCCACTTCCTCCCCCTCCTCCTCCTCCTCACTAACCCTTCCCCCCTGTCGTGCGGGTCGGCGCTACAGCGTACGTGCGCATCTCAGCGCGCACCGCACATTGGTCGATTGAATCAATCCACTTAGTTCTCGGACGGTCAAGTCTGCTGGACCCTCCTGGACGTGCATGGAAGGAGTTAAGATGATGCCGGAGGACTCGGAAGGACTCGCAGATTCCAGCGGCACTCTCTTTTCCATCATAAGGATTCCTTGTCGCTCTTATATAAAACATATATATATATATATACATACATATATATATATATGTGGGATCCACAGTCGTTCCACTTTGACAAAAAATCCTGCCGAAATTCTTCACGTTTCGCATGTCCCCACCAACCCATTCAGAAGCCCTGCCCACGAGAGCTGACGGGAAAAGGGACGAAAGGACACATCTAGGGAAACAAAGCGAGCAACCAGGATACGTGAACACATACTCCCGCCGAGTCCAATCCACAACATATTGCCAGGTGTTTCCGCTTCGTGTCTCCCTCATTATCCCACAGACCACCTGTCGCCCAAAGGGCTGGTGGGACTTCTCAGCCATCAGCTGGTGCTGCTGCTGCTGGTGCTGCTGATGCTGTTGCTGCCTCTGCTGGTGCTGCGGCTGGTGTCCTGGAAGGCCTGTTGGGGCCATCTAGGGGAGCATCGATCAAAAAATAGGGGGTCCTCGATTTCGGCCCCTTCCCAGGAGCCCTCAATATCGCCCCTTGGAGCTCTCCTGGGGCTCTTTGGGAGCCCTGTTGGGAGCCCTGGAAAGCCTCTTGGGGCCATCTTGAAAATCAATCAAAGGAGGAAGTGGTGTAACTTTCAACCCCCAAAGAAGCCAAAATGGGGTCAAAACCTTAGTGTAAAACCAATGATGCTAGTTTCCTCGCCGAGGCCGTTTTGGACGCCCTGGCACCTCGCGGAACCCCCGGAGAAGTCCAGAGGACGGGGTAGGTGGAGGGATAATCCCCGAGGGTGCGCTATCCCCAAGGGACGGGGGAGGGGGACCCCCCCCCGCCCTTCCCCGATCCGTCGTCGGGGACCCACCCACCCCTCCCCCCCTTCCCCGATCCGTCGTCGGGGACACCCCCCCCTCCCCCCCTTTCCCCGATCCGTCGTCGGGGAGCGTCGGGGACCCCCCCCCCCCCTTTCAAAAGGAGGACGGGGCCCGACCCCCCCCCCCTTTGGCCGCACATCCGCCCCTCCCCCCCCCCCCCTTTCGCCACGCCGCCCCCGGATTCCGGAACCGACCCCCGCCACCCCTATCCCTAGTCCTCACCCTAACCCAAACCCCCGAACCCTAACCCCAAGCAAAAACCCCAGCCCCAAAGAGTACTCACTACTCATTACTCACTACCCACTACTGACTACTCGCTTTTCGCTACTCACTTCTCACTACCCCTTACTCACTACTCACGATCGCTACTCGCTACTCCCTACTCACCACTCCCTCCTCCCTACTCACTACTCACTACT